CCCCCAACCTCCTTCTTCTTTAGAGTTGCTTCCTGCCACTGTTTCCCATGTGGGACAAGGCCTCTTGCCTCTATGCCTTTGCATATTGTCCCCTCTGGCTCTTCTTTTTTTTTTTTTTTTTTTAAGATTTTTATTTATTTACTCATGAAAGACACACAGAGAGAGAAGAGAGGCGGAGACATAGGCAGAGGGAGAAGCAGGCTCCATGCAGGGAGCCGGCCATGGGTCTTGATCCTGGGACTCCAGGATCATGCCCTGGGCCAAAGGCAGGCACCAAACCACTGAGCCACCCAGGGATCCCCCCTCTGGCCCTTCTAAACTCACCCCAGCATTCCCTCCTTCAGGAAATTTCCCTGACTGACCCTGGTCTGATTTGGCCCCTGGGTTCCCACAGGCTCCTGATCCATCAAGAAATTCCTTGAGGACAAGGATGCAACTTGTTCACCATATATCCCCAGTTCTAGCACACAGTAGGTGATCAATTAACAGACATATTGTAAGAGAAGGAAAGTTCATATCAAAAATCTTGACTATAAAGTTTTATTTTCCTTAAATAACAAGAAAGCAGGCAGCTGCTGGCAAGGGCTTGGCAGCTCAACAACATCTCTGCAATTACTTTGGCTTTTCCTCATGGTCATAAGGTGGCCACTGTTGCTCCTGCCATCACATTTATGTTCAAGGAAGGAAGGAGAGGCAAGACACAGCACCAGCACTGTTGGCTTCTTTTGTCAGGAAAAGCAAAACCCTTCCCAGAACCCCAGCCAACTTCAGCTACAAGGGAGGCTGACAAAACAAGTAACTAACTGGAGCTGGAAAAACAAATCTGCAGTTTTGTTAGCAAGAAAACAGGGCTGATGGGGGGTGGAGGAGGATTAAGAGGGTGGAGAAGGGAAGATGAGGACTGGTCAGGCAACTAACATAGGGCTTTGTAAAGGAGGTGATATTTTAGCTGTGTCTAAAAGGTCAGATACAATTTTGACGGGGCATGGGCTGGGCTGAGGCTGGACACCGAATGTCTGAGGGTAAGAGGAGGTCTGTAGAAGAAGAAACTTTCATTTACTGAGTACTGCTAAGGGCAGGCATTAGCTACCTTTCCTCCTTAAGGTACTACCATTCCTCGTTCACAATTGAGGTAACCAGAACTAAGAGAAGGTGACTGCTATGCTCAAGGTCATCCTGTGCACAGGTGACAGGAATGTGGTTGGATCCTGGTGTGTCTGACCCCAAAGCACATGCTCTTGCCACTATACAAATACTGTCTTGTTGCCACTCCTGATGTAACGATGTCCTGATGAACAAAACTACAGTTTTGTTAGCAAGAAAGAAGGGCAGGGGTTCTGGGGGAAGGAGGATTAAGGGAGTGGGGGAAGGAGGGTGGGAATTGGTAAGGCAACTAGCACAGGGCTTCATAAAGAAAATGGCATTTGAGGGCAGCCCGGGTGGCTCAGCGGTTTGGCACCACCTTCAGCCCAGGATGTTATCCTGGAGACCCCTGGATCGAGTCCCATGTCGGGCTCCCTGCATGGAGCCTGCTTCTCCCTTTGCCCGTGTCTCTGCCTCACTCTCTCTCTCTCTATGTCTCTCATGAATAAATAAATACAATCTTTCAAAAAAAAAAAAAAAAGAAAATGGCACTTGAGCTGTGCTTGGAAGGTCAGATACACTTTTGACAATAAGAAAGAATGGCCTAGGTCTGGAGGCCTGAAATCATCTCAGCTGGCATTTATTCCATGCCTGCTCTATACCAAGCATTGGTCTAATTGCCTTACATGTTTTAATTCATGCCATTTTCACAACAACACTATGAGATAAGCACTATTATTGTTCTCATACGACAAAGGAGGAAACTGAGCCAATAAGAGATTGTCATTTGCTCAAGATCCCACAAACCAATGTGTCAGGATCCAAACCTAGGTGGTCCACCTCTGAGGCACAGGGAAGGCTGTTGTCTTGCCAAGGTCTTGGTAGATTGAGAGTAGATTCTGTACCAAAAACAAACAAATTTACAAAGAACCCAAACTCACAGATACAGAGAATGGATTGGTGGTTGCCAGAGGTGGGGATGGGGAATGGATGAAATGGGCAGTCAAAAGGTATGAACTTCCAGTAATAAAATAAATAAGTCATAGGGATGTAATGTTCAACATAGTGACTATAATTAATAATAATATGGTATTGCAGGGGGCTCCTGGGTGGCTCAGTCATTTAAGGGTCTGCTCATTTGGGCACATGACCAAATGTGCCCTAGACCAACATTTTGGGGTGTATTAGATAGACTATGGGTTCTGGTGCCTCTATAAAACAGGAATAATAAAACATACCTTGCAGGGTTATTGTAATTTGGTTTGGGTCATCATGAGCTCAGGGTGATGGATCAAACCCTCACAGAGCTTGGTGCTCAGTGTAGAGTCTGCTTGAGATTCTCCCTTCTGCCTCTGCTCCTCCCACTTCTCATGCACTTTCTCTCTCAAATAAATAAATAAATCTTTAAATAATAATAACAATATGGTATTACATATTCGAAAGTTAAAAGAACAGATTTGCTTTTTTAAAAGATTTTATTTATTTACTCATGAGAGACACAGAGAGACAGAGACATAGAGGGAGAAGCAGGTTCCCTGCAGGGAGCCCGATGTGGGACTGGATCCCAGGACTCTGGGATCACGCCCTGAGCCAAAGGCAGTTGCTCAACCACTGAGCCACCCAGGTGCCTCTTAAAGAATAGATCTTAAAAGTTCTCATTATAAGAAAAAGAATTTGTGGGGCACCACAATAGTTTGGGGCAATAGTTTGCCTCAAACAAATGCCTTAGTTGATTCACTTTTGTCTTGTTAATGTGAAAGAAAACAGCAGCTAACATTCACATGGGAAGTACTCCTGTTCTATCATTGATATTGGCAACTTTTTTGCTGAACCTGGTAGTAATCAAAAATTCATCAATAGTCTGATTTTGTGACACTGTTGTTGGCAGTGGACTTATAAAAACTGAGGGTGGGTTTTGCAAGAAATTCCAAAGCCCACTGAAATTCCAGGTATGTGGAATTTGCAATAAAGAGTACTGTATATTTTATTATTTGGAACTGTATGCTATACATTTTTTATATCAGCAAAATATATAACAAATGTGTGTGTGTGTGCATGTATGTGTACTTTTTTCTTTTTTCTGGAGAACCATTAAACACTTCTGGGCTCACCACCATGCATATCCTATCCACCCACATTCCATTGGCAGGATTCCATTGTAGTCAAATGGCCACACTCAGCTTCAAGGGATGCTGGTAGTCTCTAGCTGGCTGGCCATGTGCCCAACTAAAATAAAGGTTTTGGAGGGGAGCTCCACTTCATGTATTTTCCCCAGGGGAGAGCACTAGCTGACGGAAGTTGGCCATTTGGATTTTCCAAGGCCACGGTTAGGGCCTTCTTGTAGCCTCACCTGGAGGCCAGCCTCCATAGTTGCCTCTAGCTCCTCTCACAATTTTGGGAAGGTACATACAGAGTGTAGTGTCCTGAAGGGACAGGTTCCCAAATTTTGCTCTTCACCTTCAAGTGCCTGCTTCCTGCCCTTACCTTCACTGCTTGCATCCCTAATCCTGACAGGCATTCCAGCAGGGCTGAACGCCAGGGTGGCCTTTTTTTTGTTTTGTTTTGTGCCCTAGACCAACATCTTGGGGTGTATTAGATAGACTATGAGTTCTGGTGCCTCTATAAAACAGGAATAATAAAACATACCTTGCAGGGTTATTGTAATTGTCAAATAAGACAATCTTTGGGGAAATTTCGTTGTCTAGAAATTATAATTCAACTGTGAGGAGCAGGTAATCCCAATTCCTACTTAACTGGTTTATGACCAGGTTCAGATAAATCCTTGGAAAGACCATCAATGATGTAGTTTTGAAACATAGGTGAGGTTTCGTGGGGTGAGGTCTGGAGCCGATGACCAAGAAAGAATTCTTGAGATGTCTTTTGTTCAAAATGGTGGTTTTATTAAAGCCCCAGACAGGACCCTTGGGCAGGAAGAGCTACTGCCCCAAACTTGTGAGGGGTGGCTGATTATATACTTGGAAGTTAGGGGAGGTAGGGAAAAGAGAGATTTCAGAAGGATTTTCAGATGCTAAGGAAGACTCACAGGATTTGGAGGCTTTGCCATTGTCATGTTGTTTTTCCCTCTTAGCAAGGCATTAACATTAAGACAGTTGGGAACTTCCTGGAGGAATGTCACTCATATCCCACCCAGGAGTGGCCAGGGTGGGAGTGGGGAGGATCTTGCAGGGTATCAGCTGGTGCTTTGTCCCCAGCTGGCCTTCTGCTCCCTCATCAATGAAGTACTACACTGAAACAAGATATTGGCATATTACATTTTTAAGTACATAAGGAAAAATTATTGGCGATTTTATTACAATGAGAACAATACTGTTAAAAATTTAGAAAATGTAAAATGAAAATAAGAAGCTAAATATACCCATAATACCACCACTCAGAGATAGCCACTATTTATATTTTGATATAGCTCCAGTAACTATTAACTCATGGTATGTGTTTATTTGGATCTCTACCTATGACCTCAGTCTCCTCAGCAAGGTTATGTTGAAGAAAGTGCCAGACATCATGTAATTTCATCATAAAAATCACAGTATCCTTACATTTAAGGACACTTTATTTTTTTATTTTTTTAAAGATTTTATTTACTTATTTGAGAGACAGAGCACACACACACACAAACAAACACACACACACACACACACACGCATGAGACAGGGGCAGTGAGGAAGGGCAGAGGGAGAGGGAGAAGGAGAAGCAGACTCGCCACTGAGCACTGAACACAATACTGTCTTGCTGTCTGTATCCCAGGACCCTGGGATCATAACCTGAGCAGAAGGCAGATGCTTAACTGAATGAGCCACCCACTTGTTATTTTCTTCTTTCTTTGCCAATCTTTTTCTATGTTAAGGGGATTAACTAAGGTGACATTCATTAATTACTTATTATTGTTATTCCTCCAGGGAAAATCATGGAAACTTCAGGACCTTCCTCCCAGACTCAAGATGACAGTCGAGTCCATGCAGAAACAGAAGACCTAGACTGTATGTTCGCCTTCTCTCACCCTCTGGGCAAAGCCACATGGGAGGTAGAGTCCAGCAGTGGGTGGAACTGAAGAAGATCTGTTCCTCTCATGTGGCATAATGGCTCAAGTCACAGTTGAATCCTCTGGAGAAGTAATGTTTTCCTCACACACATACACATATGCTTGGTTCAGTCCATCCCCTAGAACTTTATAGCTTTGGGGACCTTCATTTGCTCCCCAAATCTCAAGAGGGCTCTGGAGGTTTGGGTTGGCACTAGTGAGGGTCCTCAGAAGGCAGGAAGGTTCCTGTGCTACTCCAGAATGGTTAATGAGAAGATTCACTTGACCAGATCATCCCTGCCCTATAATTTATACTGCATCCTAAATTGACAACTATTGTACACAATTTAGTGGCCTCTGGGCAGAATAGGGGGCTTAGAAGGCTCTCCGGTCTCTATATTCAGAGAAATTTGTGCCTTGGAGCTTCCTAGAGCCTCTAGGGCCTCTGAGAGCTCTGATCTTCTGTACCTTCCATTGGCCCTACGAGTTTAGGGAAAGTGTCCAGAGAATCTGGTCATTCCTGACCTCCAAGTCCAAGTAGATACCTGGGGAGCTCTTGGTGGTCACTGGGGTGGGAAGGGAAAGAACACTCATCGTTTTCTATATGTGCTTCCTAGATGAAGAGACGGATTTCTACAAGCCAGACAGGGAGGCTGGACTCCTTTCCCAAGAACAACCTAAGAGACACAAGTCTTCTACCTCTTCCTCCTCCTCATCTTCCTCCTCCTCCTCATCATCCTCTTCCTCAGGTATAGTAATATTTATATATATGTATATATGTGTGTGTATATATATATATATATATGTTCACAGTATTATTCAAGAAAAGCATTTACATGGAAAAACAATGCCCCATAATCTCCCACCTTGATACTTTAATTCTCTTTTTCTGTATCCCCTTCCAGACCCCACCTATCAGTACACATGATTTGTACACAGTTATAACTGACCATATAGACAACTTTGTCCTCTGTTTAAAATTTTTCCTCTTGGGATGCCTGGGTGGCTCATCTGCCTTAGGCTCGGGGTGTGATCCTGGAGTCCCAGGATCGAGTCCCACATCAGGCTCCCCACAGGGAGGCTGCTTCTCCCTCTGCCTGTGTCTCTGCCTCTCTCTCTCTGTCTCTAATGAATAAATAAATAAAATCTTTTTTAAAAAATGAATAAAATAAAATGTTTTGCTCTCATATCCTGGGCATTCTGACATGTTATTCTGTAATATCTCTGCAGCTAAGATTCATGCTTACCAAAAAGCCTCGAGTGGCTGCATCTCATATAAAGTAACATTCAGGTTTATCAGGAGCACTCTGGTGTTGAACTCAATGCACCTGTCTATTCAAGCAGCCTACCTGGTCTCAATCCTTTCTTTGCTACTCCCTAGCTATGTGTCCTTGGGTAAATTGCTAAACCCTATATGCCTTGGGGTCCTCCTCTGTAAATTGGGGATGGTAACAGAAGTTACTACCTCACGGGATTATTGTGAGGATTACATTTACACATGTAAACTTTCAGCATTTAGCACATAGTAAAAGCTCTAAAAAACAACTGTTAGGATTATCCACCAACCTTACCACCAGTTTACCATGCTCATAAGCATCCTTGCTCAAAGGCTTTTTTGCTTTTTGAATTTTTCACACAAATTGTGTCTTTAGCATCAATTCCCCCATGAGTCCTTCAGGAAGGTACATCTTCCATTGGGTCTTGATTGCAAATTGCCACATTGTTCTCCAAGAGAAAGAATGTCCTTTCATTTTTATTCTTTTAATTCAAAATGAGAGGCTGAATTGGTAGTAGCAGCAGCAACATCATGGCTAGCATTTACTGAACATGTACTATGTGCCAGGTACTGTTTCAAGCACTTTACATGTAATAACTCTGTTAATTCTCATAGAGACCCACTGAGGAAGGTGCTATTATTCCCATTTTACAGGTGAGGAAATTGAGGCATGTGGAGGCTAATTGACCTGCTGTCAGAGGGCTCAGTAACCAATTCGGGGTCCCTGGAGGTCTTCCTAGGACTCAGGGGTTCTAAGGGGTAGGCTCTGGTCTACTCTTCCGTCAGAATGCCTGCACTAAGATCTGCTTTACAGAGTGGGCTTGGGCCTAAGGTTTTATATGAAGAAAGAATTCTCAGGCTAAATCCTAAAAAATGCTTGCAGAGCCCTGGCATCACATCCTCACATTCAAATCATGAGACTGAGGCTCAAGACCATAAAATCTATGCTTATTTCTCTAGACAGAGGAAAGAGAGTGGTTGGTGGGCCCAGTGGGTTTATCTGTAGCCAACCTCCTCATGGACTGGAAAGGAAGCCACTGCCTTCATTAAAAAGTACAATTGAGGGCAGCCCAGGTGGCTGAGTGGTTTGGCATTGCCTTCAGCCCAGAGCATGATCCCAGAGACCTGGGATCGAGTCCCATGTCGGGCTCCCTCTATGGAGCCTGTTTCTGTCTCTGCCTCTCTCTCTCTCTCTCTGGTCTCTTATGAATAAATAAATAAAATCTTTAAAAAAATAAATAAAAAGTATAATTGACCCCTGAACAACACAAGGGCTAAGGACCCTGACTCCCCACACAGTTGAAATCTGCCTGTAACTTTGGACTCCTTCAACCCTTAGCTACTAAAGCCTACTGTTCACTGGATGCTTTACTGAAAACATAAACAGTGATTGATACATATTCTGTATCTCGTTTTCTTACAATAAAGTAAGTTAGAGAAAAGAAAATGTTATTAAGAAAAGGAAGAGAGGGGTACCTCAGTGGCTCAGTTGGATGAGTGTCTGACTCTTGGTTTTGGCTCAGGTCATGATCTCAGGGTCATAAGATTGAGCCCCGAGATGGGCTCCTTGCTTGGCATAGGGTCTGCTTGAAGATCTTCTCTCTCTCTCTCCCTTTGCCCCTTCCCCTGCTTACAGACTTTCTAAAAAAAACAAACTTTTGATTGTGGAAGATTACACATAAAAATACTGTAGAAAATATGGAGCATATAAGGAAGTAGAAAGAAGAAGAAAATCATCCTTTCCTCTGTCACCCAGAGATAACCACTAAATACATATATTAGTGTATTTCCTTACATTTATTCAATAAATATTTATTGAGCACCAACTATGTGCCAGGCTTTGGGATGGATACTGGGGGCATGAGCAACAAACTATGACTCTTTCTGCCAAGCTTAATTTTTTAAGTAATTGAATTAGAGAGTATATACAAAAGTTGTCCTCTTTTTATACAGCCTATAATTCTGTAATACCTTTCATAAAAAGTAATTTTGATCTCAGCTCAGTCCTTGATCTCAGGGTCATGAGTACAAGTGCCTCATAGGGGCCATACTGGGCATAGAGCCTACTTTAAAAAAATTATGTATTATGAATATGTCCTAGAGAAAGCTAAAATAATGTTCATTTGCATGTTGATGGGAGTTGTCCCTGGCAGATAGAATTTGGAGCAATTTTTGCTTTCATTTTCTGTATTGTTTGATATTTTGCAAAATGCAATGAAAAAGCCTTTTTTTTTTAACATTGATTAATCTTATAAAATACAGAAAAGAAGAAAACAGGAGTGAACCAAAATCCTCTATCTCCTGAGATAAACACTGCTGTTGTAATCTTGATGTACTTCTTGATACTTTTTTCTCTGTATCTAGCCGAGATCACATATGCACAGATTTTAAAGCACAGTTAATCTGACTTCCTGGAAATTTAAAGTTTATCCACAACTGAGCAAGAGCTTCCCAAGTACACTGAGGGACCTAGGCATTGCCAGAGCCATCTTGATCATTCTAAGGAAAAGGGAGTCCTCTGGACCTGAAACCAGGAATTTCTTGCAATGCTGACCGGTCCAAGAGTGCAAACAAGACTGTCATTCTTCAAGTCTTGATCAGGCTCCTCCTCCAGGCACTCTTAGAACAGTAAGGACCCAGGCCTTGTCCATCAGGAGCTCAAGATGATTGGAGAGATGGACACCACCACCACTGACCCTCATGTCCACAGTATCAAGCACAGTTAATGCTATATAACTCCAGATGAGGGAGGCCAAAGATGAGTGTGACCTGGGGCAGTTGGAAAAGCCTTTCTACCTCTTAAGATTCAAGATAAAAGAGACAAATGGGAAGAGCCTTCCAGGTGGGAGCAAACAGTCAGCATGATGTTGTGGGAACACTGAGATGACACAGCCTTGTGCTTATAATATGATACCTTGGATGATCTTGTCTTACTTCATGAAAGCAGCAGTGGAAATATTAAATGATTTGTCCAAGATGACACAGAAAGTTTGTGGCAGCTCTCCTATGCCTCCCATCCCCCAAAGAGCTCTCTTTCCTCCAGGTCACACTCCTCACATAAGCTAAATTCTGAGAACCCCAGAACCAATGTATTTCAGGCTTGTTCCAGACCTAGGTTCTCCTATAGCTTCTATTTGTTCCCTGCAGAGAGCAGTGATGAGGATCAGCACTCAGAAGTAACTGGAAAATGTCAGCCAACTCAGGGGGGCTGGACACCCACCCCAGGGACAGCTAGCCCGGTAGACAAGAGGCCTCACCATTTCTCCTTTGCCCACTCAGCTCACTGTTGAGTTTCTCAGTGGGATTGAGCATGCCTATGTGTGGATGTTCCTCACAGCATGGTTATTTATTTTTTATTTATTTATTTATTTATTTATTTATTTATTTATTTATTTAATTTTTTAAAAGTTTTGTTTATTTATTCATAGAGACACAGAGAGAGAGAGGTGCAGAAACACAGGCAGAGACACAGGCAGAGAGAGAAGCAGGCTCCATACAGGAAGCCTGACGTGGGACTTGATCCCAGGTCTCCAGGATCGCACCCCAGGCTGCAGGTGGCGCTAAACCGCTGCGCCACCGGGGCTGCCCCTATTTTTTATTTTTTTAAATATTTTATTTATTCATGAGACACACACACACACACACACACAAAGAGAGAGGGGGGGGGACAGAGACATAGGCAGAGGGAGAAGCAAGCTCCCTGTGAGGAACCCGACGTAGAACTCGATCCCAGGACTCCAGGATCACACCCGGAGCCACAGACAGACACTGAACCACTGGGCCACCCAGGCGCCCCTAACAGCATGGTTTATAGTGAGGCATCAGTAGCAAGCAGCCTAGTGTCCAATAACAGCAAAGTACACCCTCTCTTGGCTACAGCTCTGTTATTCACATATCTCTGAAGTGAAAAAGAAAGATGTCAAATCTTATAATTCGTCTGATCTCATGTATACCCTGTAAAAATTCACACATATGTGGTTATAAATAAGGCTGGAAGGGAAAATAGCAAAATGTTGGTAGTGGTTATTTCTGGATGGTTAAATTATGGGTGATTTTTATTTTCACTTTTTTGATCTGTCCTATACTATAAATATTATACAATGGGCATGTTCTATTTTTACAACCAGGAGAAAATTTTGGCAAAAATAAAAATTTTTAAGTAAATTTTGGCCTAAATGCATTTTAGGAAGAAAAGAGCATGGGGAAAGAGCCTGGATTAATGCCTAGGACAGAACCTAGCACACATGACATGCTTAATAAATGCTGACCTTGAAGCTGAAGTTGAGTTCTGGGTTCTATTTCTGAAGATAAAAGTGATTAGGGGGAGCCTGGGTGGCTCAGTCAGTTAAGCATCGGATTCTTGGTGTCAGCTCTGGTCATCATCTCATGGATTATGTGATGGAGCCCCTAGTCAGTCTCCTTGCTCAGTGGGGAATCAGCTCAAAGATTATCTCCTTCTGCCCCTCCCACTACTCATGCATGTGCTCATGCTCTTGTGGTTTCCCTCAAATAAATAAATAATTTTTTAAAAAAGTGATTAGGATTGTAGACTTTGGTGACAGATCTATCTGGGCTTTGGAATTGCTACTTACTGGCTGTGTGACCTTCAGGGAATAATTTAATTTTGTGAGCTTTAGTTTCCTTACCCATAAAATTGGGAGGGAGAGATACTAATAACTTCTGCACAAGATTTCCATAAGGATCTAATGAAATATTAAATATAGTTTAATATAGTTCTTGGAGTGCCTGGGTGGCTCAGTCAGTTAGGCATCTCCCTTTGGCTCAGATCATGATTCCCAAGTCCTGGGATGGAGCCCCATGTCAGGCTCCCTGCTGAGCAGGGAGTCTGCTTCTCCCTCTCCTTTACCCTCTCCGTCTGTGCATGCTCTCTCTCTCTAATAAATAAATCTTTAAAATAGGGACGCCTAGGTGGCTCAGTGGTTGAGCGTCTGCCTTCAGCTCAGGCCGTGATCCTGCGGTCCTGTGTTGGAGTGCCACATTGGGCACACCGCATGGAGCCTACTTCTCCCTCCTCCTGTGTCTCTGACTCTCTCTGTCTCTCATGAATAAATAAATAATTTTTTAAAAAAATCTTTAAAATAAATAAATAATAAATAACTTAGTTCTATATAGATACCTAGTAAGTGCTCAATAAATGACAACTCTTACTATTGACTTTGAAGGAGGCCCAGGTCCACTCAGACCCTCAATTCTTTGTCAGGAAACCAACCACAGTCACCTTTGGGTGTGTGGGGGGAGTCAGACAAGGTAAAGAGAAAGTACTCATAAGGCTGTCTTGCCTCTTGAAGAACTGCCCGGCTCACCTCCAGCACAAACAAGGACTGTGCTTACTTTTTAAGGCTTTGGCTAGGTGGGAGATGGAAGCTGCCCTGGGGTGCTGTGACGGGATAGCTAACTAAAGGGGGGTTATCTCCACTCAGGTACTGAGCATGAGGAACCTGACCTCTTGAAGGATGAGCTTCAGCTCTACGGAGGTAAGTCATTGTCCAGTGGCTTTGGAGAAAAGAACTACACAAAGTACATGAGGCCTTTGGGCTTTGTTGGACAGAAACAAGTTTATGAGGGTGTTTCATAACTGAGAAATGCTAGAAAAATATCAGAGTTATGACAAGATGAATGGTTAGAACACTGGTGGATGGTGATGGGGGCAAGCATTTTCTACCATGGTGAGGCTGTCCCAGATTCTCTTCCAAACTATAACCTTGACTTGTAGGGTGACTTAGGTCAGTCACCCAATCTTTCTGCGCCTGAACTTCCAGCCAGCAAAATGGAACATGATTAGTACCCAGTGTCTTGGAATAGTGGGCTGTTTACAGGGGTACAGGAAAATTAAGGATCCGATTTCTAAAAAACTCATGTTATGGAATAATGATCTCCAGGCATCATGATTATTACAGCAAGGAGATACAAACATTATGGCACTTGGCTTGGTAGCACTTTGATGAAATGAGAACAATTTGTAAGAATGAACCAGTTTGCCAAAAAGCCTAAAAACTGCATACTGCAGACAAGAAAACCCATTTAACTTTGTTTAATCCATGGGGCGCCTGCCTGCCTCAGTTAGTACAGTACATGACTTGTGATCTTGGGGTTGTGATTTTAAGCCCCATATTGGGTGTAGAGATTACTTAAAAAAAATCTTGATTTTCTTTAATCCAATATTTCTATGCCCCTACCTATGTAGTCTCCTAACACCTGATAATAACCCAAGAAAACCAACAAGAAACACATACACCTTCTAAGAAATGTAAATGAAATATTTTAATTTCTGCATCAAGATATTACCCATGGCTGCCTCTGGGTGGTAGCATTGTGAGTAATAGTTACACTGTTTTATTTGCTTAACTGGATTTTCTAATTTTCTTTCCTTCCTTTTTTTTTTCTCACAAAAACAAGTATTACTTGGTTTAGAAAAATGTTTTTATTACTCAGGTAGTATAAGAATAGTTTCACTGGGTGTAAAATGAGAGAGAGAAACTGTTACGTTTACAAATATTTAAAAATGTTTTTGGGGGTGCCTGGGTGACACAGTCAGTTAAGCATCCAAATCTTGATTAGGACTCAGGTCATGCTCTTAAGGCCCTAAGATCGAGCCCTGCATCAAGTTCCGTGGTCACTGAGGAGCCTGCTTGAGAGTCTCTCTCCCTCCACGCCACTCTCAAATAAATAAATAAATAAATATTTTTAAAAAATGTTTCTTGAGTGCCTGGCTCATTCAGTCAATGGAGCATGTGACTTGATCTCAAGGTGAGTTCAAACTCCACATTGGGTGTAGAGATTACTTAAAAACAAAATCTTTAAAAATACGTTTTTCTCATCATAAAAGTAATTCATATTTACTGTAGAAAACATAGATATCATCACAGATTTGTGAATTACTCCCTCCCCCCCCCAAGACACTGGAGCTTCTTAGTAAATTACATTCTTGGAGTTGGTCTCATTTCATCTTTTTCTAGTAGGTATGTACCCTTCATACCGTCCACCCTTAAGTAACTTGCAGATAATGTTTTCTATTTGCATAGTAGCCCTAAAACAGTTCAGCATGCTTATTGTCATGTGCTGAGTGCCCCCTTCTGGTACTATGTCCTGGGGCTGACCTGAAGGATGGAAAGTGTGCAGGCATGATGACTGCTGCTGGTAGTGGCTATATGGGGTCCTGCCTGCCCTTGAGTGGAAGGATTGGACAGGCCAGGAGAGAGGCCACCAGGAAATAGAATAGTCACCAAGAATCAGGATAAATGGGGTGGGTAGGCCACTGTAGACAAGATTAATGGGGAAGCTGCAGCTTGGGACAGCTACATAAGGCTCACATCAGCCTCAGCAGCCCAGACAAGGTCAACACTCAGGGTATGGGGCTGGGGTTCCCAGTGTGCAACCCATCTGGGCTTCCACCAACTCAGAGCCTAGTGGGCTTGGGTCCACGTGCCTGGGTGTCATCACCTGTATCTTGCATAGTCAAGAACAGGCACAGGTTGTAAACTGGTGACCACATGTGTGCAGATGTGTTTTATGTCCCATAGCGTCATCTTATTATTATTGTTGTTGTTACATTTCATCAACTCATACTTTTTCACATTTAGACATCTCAGAAATCAGGATGCATCTTAAAATCACTGGCAACCTATAATTAAAATTGGCAGTGTCTTTTCCTTACATAGTGATATGTGAAATAATGTCATGTCTCACAAACAATGACATCTTGATTCCATGGACTACAAGAGTTGCCAGCCTTTCTTATAATCAAGATGTTGATGTAAAAACCTGGATTTCTGGCTTCTTGTGGGAATTTGAATGACCTATAAACACTAGACAAGCATTCCTACAGTGCCTGGTGGGTGGTGGCTGCCTTGCTCCAGTCACCCCAGTCACACGTAAAGTCTCTGAGTGAGATCCACCTTCCCCACAGTGTAACTTATCTCCACCCAGAGGATAAGGGATATGTACATGATAACTGATTTTCCTCCCATGTAGGTGCCCCTAGAGAGGTGGTGCCCTCTGGAGAATCAGGTAAGTGTCCACTTAGGGGAAGTGGGTTGTCAGTGCTGATGATGGGCAGTCTGGGCACTGTTAAGGCACTAATTTTGGATTTCTAATTTCCAGGACTCCGAAGAAAAGGCTCTGACCCTGCGAGTGGTAAATACACAAACTCCAAGAGGAGAGGGGGAGGTGGCCTGGATTCCAGGGGGTTAGGACAGGATCAGACAGCCTGAGAGGGCAGGTCAGTCACAGCAGAAATGACAGCACCAACCAGAGCATCACCTTGATTCTGGAAAGATATCTCCAAGGAAAGGAAACAGAATGCAGACTTGGGCCTGTGTAGTGAGGAGAGGAGTGAGTGGAGGTCCCAACGACAGATACCCCTACCTTCACAGCTTTGCTCTGACTGGTCCTGCGGTGAGGGCCCTCTGTCCTGGGAAGAAGAACCCAGGAGAGCCAGTCTCAGGGAAGCAGGGAAGAGAAAACCCCACCTGTCCTCCTTCATCAATTTCAATACTCGTCTCTCTCTTGTTCTTAAGGAGAAGTAGAGGCCTCTGAGTTGAGAAGACTGAATATAAAGAAAGATGGTAAGGAAATAAGTTCCCCAAAACTGCTTCTCTTTGGTCAGATTTCTACAGGGAGAAAGTCCTCTGGTGGCCTAGAAAAACAATGATCATAGCCCACCTCTGTCGTGTGCCCTACTTGCAAACTCCTCCATTTAGAATCACCTCAGGAAGGTGATACAATGCTCGCTTTGTGTAGATATGGAAACGAAGGCCCAGGGATGGAGTGTGACCTTTCAACTAGCGACTGGCATAACCTGGCCTCGAACCCTGGTCCTGTGTCTCTTCTGCTATACAGTCACAGGGATGATAAATGCTCCCCTCTAGCCCTCTGGCCATGATGGGGAGTTGGAAGTGGGGTGAGGAAGCCTGAGGTTAGATTAGCCTGGACTCTAGGGAAGGAGCCATGAGAACTGGAAGGAGCTCCATTGTTTTAAGCCTGGAGTCCATGAGGGCTTCACGGGGGAGGACGGGAAAGGGACAGGAGACCAGGGTGTTTTATGAAACAAATGGCAGTTGTCCTAGAAACATCTGGGGTTGTTGCAAAGGTTCACCTTCAGGGAGTGGGAGACCTTGGTGTGAGTCCCTGACTCTGCCTCTGTCCAGCTAAATGAACCAGGTTTTTTATTTTTTAAATATTTTATTTATTGATTTATGACAGACATAGAGAGAGAGGCAGAGACACAGGCAGAGGGAGAAGCAGGCTCCTCGCAGGGAGCCCAATGTGGGACTCAATCCCAGGACCCCAGGATCACGCCCTGGGCGAAAGGCAGGCACTAAACTGTTGAGCCACTCAAGGTTCCATGAACTAGGGTTTTACAACTTTCCTGGGCCTGTTCTTTTTGATGGCTGCATAGTGTTCCATGGTATAAACTTATTTGTCCAGTCACCCACTGATGAACCTAGATGTGTCTGATTTTTTGCTGTTACTGTTGTTGCACCAAATACCACTACATTGGTATAAGATGGAGATTCCCAAAGTACAGGACATGACATTATACTCCAAAGCAAGAAGGTGATTTCCTTTTCTGTCTCCTTCCTACTGCAAAATCTTAGTCCAGAACCCCTGCATCTTTTTTTTTAAGATTTTATTTATTTATTTATTCATGAGAGACACAGAGGGAGAGAGAGAGAGGCAGAGACACAGGCAGAGGGAGAAGCAGGCTCCACGCAGGGAGCCCAACGTGAGACTCCATCCTGGGTCCCCAGGATCACACCCCGGGCTGAAGGTGGTGCTAAACCACTGAGCCACCCAGGCTGCCCCCAACCCCTGCGTCTTTTTTTAAATTTTTTATTTATTTGTGATAGTCACAGAGAGAGAGAGAGAGAGAGAGAGAGAGAGAGAGGCAGAGACATAGGCAGAGGGAGAAGCAGGCTCCATGCACCAGGAGCCCGACGTAGGACTCGATCCCGGGTCTCCAGGATCGCGCCCTGGGCCAAAGGCAGGCGCCAAACCACTGCGCCACCCAGGAATCCCAACCCCTGTGTCTTTAATGCTACCCTGACCCTTGCTCATTGCCCTTCAGACACAGACAGCAGAGCCTTCTGTAATCACAACTCCGTGGCCGAGTCAAGGGCCCTGTGTTCTCTCCACAGTGACTGGCCCAGTGCCTGGCAAAGTGCAGGAGGGCCTTAGTCACAGAGCACACCTGAACACCTGCCCAAGTCACAGAACCTGCCCTCAGCTCCTCACCATACTTCTGTGAGCAATGAGAACCCACCAAGGCACTTCTGGCCATTGGGCCCACAGAGATATGTGCACAGAGATTCATGTGTAGTGTTATTTGGTGCAGCAACAGTAACAGCAAAAAAATCAGACATCCGTAGGACAAATAAATTAAGTTTATACTATGGAACACTATGCAGCCATCAAAAAAACCAGGGCAGATCTACATATGTTCTGAGATGGAAAAATGGCCCTGATCTATCCATGAGAGGAAGAAAGCAAATGATAGAGCTGCAGCTGAACAAACTGGTCCTGCTTTTCTTAAAAATTCAAGTACAGTTAACAGATAGTGTTATATTAGTTTCAGGTGTACAATATAATGATTCAAGAATCCCACACATTTCTCAATGCTCATCATAACTTACTCTTTATCCCTTTCACCTGTTTCACCCCCCACCCCACACCTCTCCTCTGGTGACTATCAGTGTGTTCTATTTAAGAATCTAGGTTTTTTGTTTGTCTCCTTTTTTTCTTTGTTTGTATGTTTGTTTTGTTCCTTAAATTCATGTATGAGTGAAGTCATATGATGTTTATCTTTCTCTGACTGACTTGGTTCACATAGCATTATACCCTCTAAGTCCATCCATGTTGTTGCAAATGGCAAGATCTCATTATTTTTATGACTGGGTAATATTCCATAATATATACATACCACTTTTTTCTTTATCCATTCATTCATCAATGGACATGTGCGTTGCTTCCATAATCTGAATGTTATAAACAATGCTACAATAGACACAGGGGTGCATATATCTTTTCAAATTAGTGTTTTCTTTTTCTTTGAGTAAACACCCAGTAGTGGAATTACTGGATTGTATGGTAATACTATTTTAAATTTTTTGAGGAACCTCCATAGTTGGTTTGCCACAATGGCTACAACACTTTTCATTCCCACCAAGAGTACATGAGGGTTCCTTTTTCTCTACATCCTTGCCAGCACTTGTTATTTCTTGTCTTTTTTATTTTATTTTATTTTATTTTTTATTTTTTTTTTAATTTTTTTTTTTATTTATTTATGATAGTCACACAGAGAGAGAGAGAGAGAGAGGCAGAGACACAGGCAGAGGGAGAAGCAGGCTCCATGCACCAGGAGCCCGACATGGGATTCGATCCCGGGTCTCCAGGATCACGCCCCGGGCCAAAGGCAGGCGCCAAACCGCTGCGCCACCCAGGGATCCCTTGTCTTTTTTATTTTAGTCATTCTGACAGGAATGAGGTGATATCTCATTTTGTTTTTCATTTGCGTTTCCCTGATGATGAGTGATGTTGAGCATCTTTTCATGCATCTATTGGCCATCTGTATGTCTTCTTTGGAAAAATGTCTCTTTATGTTTCTGCCCATTTTTATTCGGATTGTTATTATTATTGTTGTTGTTAAGTTATATAAATTCTGGGGCACCTGGGTGGCTCAGTTGTTTAAGCATCTGCATTCAGTTCAAGTTGTGATCCCTGGGTCCTGAGATCGAGCCCCCCACCAGGCTCCCTGCTCAGTGGGGGGTCTGGTTCTCTCTCTCCCTCTGCTGCTCCCTCTGCTTGAGCTCTCTCTATTTCTCTGTCAAATGAATAAATAAATAGATAAAAGTTATATAAATTCTTTATATACTTTGGATATTAACCTCTTATCAGATATGTCATTTGCAAATGTCTCCTCCCATTCCAAAGGTTGCCTTTATGTTTTGTTGATGGTTTCCTTCACTGTGCAGAAGCTTGTATTTTGGTGTCGTCCCATTTGTTTATTTATTTATTTATTTTTTATTTATGATAGTCGCACAGAGAGAGAGAGAGAGAGAGGCACAGACATAGGCAGAGGGAGAAGCAGGCTCCATGCACCGGGAGCCCGACGTGGGACTCGATCCCGGGTCCCCAGGATCACGCCCCGGGCCAAAGGCAGGCGCCAAATTGCTGTGCCACCCAGGGATCCCCTGTCCCATTTGTTTAATTTTGCTTTTGTTTCCCTTGCCTCAGGAGACATATCTAGAAAGAAGTTGCTATGGCTGATGTCAAAGGAATTGCTGTCTATGTTTTCTGCAAGGAATTTTGTAGTTTCCTGTCTCACATATAGGTCTTTCATCCATTTTGAATTTATTTTTGTGTACACTGTAAGAAAGCGGTCCAGTTTCATTCTTTGGCATGTCGCTGTCCCGGTTTCCCAATACTATTTGTTGAAGAGACTCTCTTTTTTCCATTGAATATTCTTGCCTCCTTTGTTGATGATTAATTGACCATAAAAGCATGGCTTTCTTTCTGGATTCTCTATTCTGTTCTATTGACCTATGTGTCTATTTTTATGCCAGTACCATACTGTTTTGATTACTATAGCTTTATAGTATATCTTTAAATCTGGGTTTGTGATACCTCCCTGCTTTTGGTTTTTTAAATGTGCCTATATATGCCTAGAAAGGTTTTGACAATCATTGCTTGCTTTTAAGGAGGGGGATTAGGGAGAGAAAATGGGGCCTTGTAAAACTTGTAGGCTTGACATATTTGCATTTTTTACAATTGCATGTAATATTCATTTGACAAACAAAATACTGGGCAGTCCTACATGCCTGGCAGTGCTTTAGTCTCTGAGCAAAATTCCTACCCACCAACCTACTGAGGGGAACAGAGAATAAATCTGTTTCACATTTTTTCTTTTCTTTTCTTTTCTTTTTTTTTTTTTTTGAGAATAAGTGTAGTAATAAAGATATAACAAGTTGAGTTGTGTCAGTGTTAGAAAAATAATAAAATGAGATAAAGCCTGGAAAGGAATGGGGCTGGGGTGCTTTCTTAGTTGGGCCATTCAGGAGCGGTGTGTCTGAATAAAGTCACACTGGAGCAGAGACAGGAATACTTTTAGTAACAAAAAAAGAGAGAGAGAGAGAGAAAGAAGCAAATAGTAATTCCCCACCTCTGCCTTTACAGATGAGTTTTTCCATTTTGTCCTGCTCTGCTTTGCCATTGGGACCTTGCTGGTGTGTTATCACTATTATGCAGGTAAGGGCCGTGGGAACAGGTCGGGGGATAGGAGGATTCAGACTTGCAGGCTGACTGTTCTCTCCCCTGCTGCCCTGGCAGACTGGTTCATGTCCCTTGGGGTCGGCCTACTCACCTTCGCCTCCCTGGAGACTGTGGGCATCTACTTTGGGCTGGGTAAGCTCCCCGCAACCCCCCACACACAGACTTTTTAGGGGGAGTGGCTGGACTCCCACTGATGCTCACCGGGGGCCAGAAAGCCACAACCTAAACATTTTTTTAAAGCTTTCCTTATGCTCATGTTTTCTTCCTGACCACTTTCGAGGTCACTGTGAGGTCGTTGGCAAAACCCTGTGGAAAAAAATGGGCAGCTCCACAAAAATGCAACAAAAACAGTTTAAAGCGGCAAACAAACAGAATTAGCTAGCTATGGAAAACAAGGCAGTTCATGGAGTGGGATCCTGAATTCACTGAGTTTCCTGGCACTGTTATTGCTGTTCGAGGTCATTGTTTTTAATAATAATAACTCCAGTACTATTATCTAAGCTTAACCTGGCTGCCTGAAATTCCACCATTAATCCTTGTTTGTGTGGGTGAGGCCTTTGTAAGGGGTGGCAAGGGGGGCGGGGCGGAGGTAGAGTAGGTGGGTGGCCCTGGATCCCTTGCTGGAGCAAAAAGCTCAAGCTCCTTTCTCTTTGTTTGTGAGCAGTGTACCGGATCCACAGTGTCCTGCATGGCTTCATCCCCCTCTTTCAGAAGCTTAGGCTGATGGGTAATGTTTGCCTACTTCCTATGTTCACCTTCTTCCTCCCTATCAAAGTCTTCCGTTGCAATCGAGGCTTATTAGCCTATGGGAAACAGCACGGGGCCTGGAGTCAGGGGCCTGGGTTCAAGGTCTACCCCTGCCGATTGACCAGCGCTGGGGCCCAGGATCATCTTTTAGCCTCCATTTCCTCCACTGGATCATGTGTGTAATAATACCCACTGCACAAGTATGTGATGCAAACCACGTGAGGAGGAATGGATGCAGAAGTCCTTAAGTGTGGGACACAGTGGAAAAGTGAAGGGAATCTGGGTGTTCCTCATTCTCTCATAGAACTAACCCAAATGCTATTTTTGCCATAATTTTATTTGCCTACTAGGTGTGCTTCAGTCATGTTGCAGTTGACTGATGAGGGAGCCGAGGCCCAGAGAGGTGGAGTGACTTGCTGAGGGTCACACAGCTAGTGTGGCTGGGCTGTGCTAAAGGAGATCTCTTTGTTTCTGACCAGCAGCTCTGTGCCTACCGTTGCATCTCAAAACTGAGAGGCCAGGGGGCTGTGTGGCTCTGTGCTGGGGATATCTGTCTCCTCTAACCCATTTAATTCATAAAGGGGAAATTAGTTGCAGTGGCTGTGGGTCATGGAGACCCATGGCTTCTAGGGTGACCACATGATCCCAGCTGTGAGGACTATTTGGGCATGTGGGGATGATGGTGGAAAGGAGGCCTGGCTGCCTTCAGAATCCCATGCCATCCTGTGGGCTTTCTTTTCCAGGGTTCAGGAAGACTGACTGAGGCCAGTGCTGGGCTGGCAGCCACGCTGGGCCCCAACATGACCACCACTGCATCTCCTGAGTGCACGAGGGCAGAGCCACATCCTGGGAGACACGCAGGCAGGCCAGTCTAGAGCAATAAAGAGAGCACTTTTCCTTCCATGTTGTCTGAACGTTGGCACCAGCCTGGACCCAGGTATCATTTGGGCAGCACTGGTGTGCAATCCAGCTGTCAGGATGGAAGGCAGAGGCAAGGTGCTAGGCCTATGCCCTTCATGGTTTCCTGGATCAGCAGGAGGATTCTAGGATGTCACTACTGTCGGGAGACAGTACGAGACCCCTGGGCCCCACAAGCCGTAATCCGCGTGGGCTCCTGATTCCTTTCAAATCCCCAGGCCATCCAGGTGAGCTCTAAATCTTGCAGAGTTATTCGAGGAAACAAAGCCCACTGCCCCGAGGCAGGGAGTCATCATGCCAGGCCTCTAGGGTGAACCTGATACAGGCGAGATGTTGAAGACGAAACATCAAGGCATCTTCTCTAGCCCCATCACCTACTCCCAGCCCTGCTGCCTTGGATTTCATCAAGATTCAAATAAAGGTTTTCTTTCCTGGACTAGGAGTCAGCTAAATGTTCCTTCAGGTTTCTTGAGCATGACAACACATTTGGAGTGTCCTTTGACCCCATCTAGGCAGGGAGTGCACCTTGTCTATTGGGTAAAGTTTAAAAGAGAATAAAAGTATAACCCCTCACTTTCGGTCCAAGATTCAAATTGTACAGGTTCAGAAACAGGGTTTTGCAAGCATTCCTTGAAAAGATCTGGGGCCATTCGGTACTCTAAGCCAAACAAATACCAAAGGGGTGAAATAGGAGCATACATATACAGAAACCCATTGCAAACTTGGGTTGCATAAATGGATGTATAGCATCTAAAGGAGGTGACAGTAGATCCTACTTTATTTTTTTTTTTTAATTTTTATTTATTTATGGTAGTCACAGAGAGAGAGAGGCAGAGACACAGGCAGAGGGAGAAGCACGCTCCATGCACCGGGAGCCTGACGTGGGACTCGATCCCAGGTCCTCAGGATCGCACCCTGGGCCAAAGGCAGGCGCCAAACCGCTGCGCCATCCAGGAATCCCCTAGATCCTACTTTATACAGCTAGTCCACATCAACAGCATGTATTCAATTCCAGATTCACATATTAAGAGCAATAGTGACACAGTAGAGAACATACAGAAGAGACCAGAGGGGAAATATAAAGAATGATTGAAGGAATGAGAACTCTTCAATTTGCAGAAGAGAAAAGTGGGGCCTTTGCTGAGCTCACAGATTCTTGGAGGATACTTCCTTTTTTTTTTTTTAAGATTTTATTTATTTATTCATGAGAGAGAGAGAGAGAGAGAGAGAGAGAGAGAGGAAGAGACACAGGCAGAGGGAGAAGCAGGCTCCATGCAGAGCCCAACCTCAAACTCGATCTTGGGGCTCCAGGATCACACCCTGGGCTGCAGGCTGCACTACACTGCTGTGCCACCAGGGCTGCTCCCTGGAGGATACTTTCTTAAGTATAAGATGGTCCAAGTACAGTCACATTTGTTATCTGATTTAATTCTCACAGCAGCCTTGAGAGGTGTCAATCATCTTCATTTTGCAGATGGAGAAACAGAGACTCAAAGAGCTTTAGTAACTTGCTCGAGTTCCCACAGTAAGTGGCAGAGCTGCCATTTGAACCCAAGCATGTGCTCTCCTTATGCTAAGCTGCCTTATAGAGCGTGGCTAGTCTAGGCCTCCACCCCAGGCAAAGCAGTCAGGAGGCACCTGCAGTTTTCCCTAGTGTTTCCAGACTTTGGGATTTCTGAATTAGAGAATATTTTTCTAAAAAATGAGTGGAGGGGGGTGTCTGGCTGGCTCAGTTGGTGGAGCATGCCAGTCTTGATCGTGGGATTTTAAGTTCGAGCCCCATGTTGGATATAGAGATTACTTAAAAATAAAATCTTTAAAAATAAATAAATAAAATTGATTTTATTTATAATAAATAAAGGCACCTCAGTGGCTCAGTCAGATAAGCAGCCAACTCTTGGTTTCGGCTCAGGTCATGATCTCAGGGTCCTAAGATCAAGCCCTGCATCCAGTTCCACACTGGATGTGAAGCCTGCTTGAGATTCTCTCTCCCTCTCCCCTGCTCTTCCCCCACCTCCACTTGCATACGTGCTCTCTCTCAAGTAAATAAGTAAATATATAAAAAAGTCAGAGGAGGGTGGCCAACTCTTTCCCTTGCTAATTGAAGACCATAAAAACAACAAAGGACATCAACCATCAGCATCATTTTATAAAAGAAAGAATAGTTTTACATCAAAAAAGCAAGCATTAGAAAGAAAAGGTTCTAAATGAATAAATGAAACTTTCTGAAAATTTTACTGTGTGTCCTTTTTCCTCAAATGACCGTGGTCTGGTGAAAAAATCATCTTTCAGAAACAGTGAAACTGGAGAATTTACAAGCACTTTTGCATTCTCTTTTTTCTACTCTGGTTCTAAGGCACCTCTCTCAGTGAAGCTTACTTCATTTCAGAAGAATAGTGACCTCCGAGCAGGGAATGTTCTTGATACTCACAACTGTGCTGTCTCAACATCTGGCTCTGAGCCCAGCCTTGACATGGATGTCCTGGGCAAAGTTCACCTTTACTCCCCTTCCTCAAGACTGTTTTGTTGTTCTGGGTCCCTTGCATTTCCACATGAGTTTTAGAAGCAGCTCCTCAGGGATCCCTGGGTGGCTCAGCGGTTCAGCGCCTGCCTTCGGACCAGGGTGTGATCCTGGAGACCCGGGATCGAGTCCCACGTCGAGCTCCCGGCATGGAGCCTGCTTCTCCCTCTGCCTTTCTCTCTCTCTCTCTCTCTCTCTCTCTCTCTCTCTCTCTGTTTATCATGAATAAACAAATAAATATTATATATATAAAAAAAGAAGCAGCTCCTCAACTTCACAAAGAAGCCAGTGGGAATTGTAGTAGGATTGTATTATATCTGAAGATAAATTTGAAGAGTACAGTGCTTCCTTTTTAACATTTACATTAGAAAAAAAAATTGCCCCAAATCCCAGTACCCAAAATCAACTACAATTAATATTTGGGTGTGTTTCCTGTGAGTCTTTAGTGCAGGAGTTATTTTTTTTTTATTTGGGCCCTTTTCTCTTGCTCATAGAATAAGGATTTTTCCACTATAACAAGGATTTTTCCATAAGCAGCATTTCCAGCCACTGTGCTTTTCATGCTTTGCATAGTAATCCCTCCAGATCTAGGTAGTAATATCAATGGCTAACATCTGTTCAATACTTCTTACTTGCTGGCTGTGGAGCTAAGCTCTTGATAGACATCATATCATTTCATCTTCATTGAAACCCTGTGAGGTAGCATGTGTCATGATCTCCATTTTAGAGATGAGAAAACGAAGAGACAGGAAGCTAGATCTGGTATTTATCAAACATGAAGAGAATGAAAGTTTTTTTTTTTTTTTTGAGAATGAAAGTTTTCATGATAGAAATACAGAATTGAGGACGATGTGGTTAACCTCATTTTGTGAGATGCTGGGTCCTTGTGGCTGGCTCGGCTGCTGCCCAGCTGGGATTTTGGCCAAGTTCTTCTCTGCTCTGGCCTCACTATCCTCATCTGTACAGTGGGGATCACAGCAGTGCCCACCTCACAGTGTTGCAGCAAGCAGTACATGAGATAATTGCATAAGGTCTTTATTTTTAAAGGATCATCCATACAGATTTTTATTAGATGCCTAGTTTTATGACTCATATATTATAATAATTAATTTTATTAAAACCCTGTTATGGAGATTTTTTTTCAGGTTTATATTCTCATATTTGAAGATAATCCTTTTTGTTTTTGTGTCTGCTTTTATTATTTGAGTATAGTTGATACATAAAGTCTTATGCACAGTCTCTGGCACATAGTAGGTGCTCAATAAAAGCATCTTTAAAAAAATTTACTTGTCAGAAAGAGAGAGCACAAGCAGAGTGTGCAGCAGGCTCCTCACTGAGCAGGGAGCCTGAGGTGGGGCTCGACCCTGGGATCATCACCTGAGCCAAAGGCAGATGCTTAACCACCTGAGCCTCCCAGGGGTCCCTCAATAAGAGCATTTCATTGGAAGGTACTTGATTAGAGCAGGGGCATACATCTGCTCTCTTAAGTCAGGCAAGCCAAGTCAGCCAGTTGCAGAAAAACAAGGAGCCTGGGAGAGGAGGTCAGGAAAGCCGATAACCTGGCAGAAGATGTCAGCTGCTGTCCGGCACTGCCAGCCAGGAACAACAGCTGAGTGGTATCCAGAGCCAGCAGGAAAATGGGACCACACCAGGTTCAAGAGAGAGAGCTAATATAGGGGATATGTTAACAGGCACAGGAGGGTTGAAAAGACAAAAGGGGCCACTGAGGTATCACAGTGCTTAACGGAGCAAAGCAGCTACCACCTAGGGTGAGGAACAAAGGAAAGAGGTTGGAGTAATGACAACCAAGAAGCTCAGGAGAGGGCCCCACAGAGCGACATCCCAGACCTCTGAGGAGGGGGCACTGCCTGGCAGGGCTGCTGTCTCTCCTGGGGGCTCAATGAGGCTGGTTCAGGACCAGTGATGTTAGACCTCTGATCTCAACAGAAGCCAGATTTTTTTTTTTTTATTGTTGGCAACTAACTTTTTTTTATTTTTATTTTTTTTAAGATTTATTTATTTATTTATTTATTTATTTATTTATTTATTTATGAGAGAGAGAGAGAGAGAGAGAGAGAGAGAGAGAGGCAGAGACACAGGAGGAGGGAGAAGCAGGCTCCATGCAGGGATCCCGATGTGGGACTTGATTCCGGAACTCCAGGATAGCGCCCTGGGCCAAAGGCAGGCGCTAAACCGCTGAGCCACCCAGAGATCCCCTAACTTTTTTTTTATTTTCAAATTCTGCTGTGGAAAATGATTCCTTAAAAAGTTAGAAGAGGTGCCTGGATGGCTCAGTGAGTTAAGCACGTGCTGTCTGCTCAGGTCTGATCCCAGGGCTCCCTGCTTAGTAGGGAGTCTGTTTCTCCCCCTTCCACTCTCCCTCCCCCTGCTTGTGCTCTTTCTCTTTCTTTCTCATAAATAAAATCTCTTTTAAAAATTAAAAGTAGGGCAGCCCGGGTGGTTCAGGGGTTTAGCGCCGCCTTCAGCCCAGGGCGTGATCCTGGAGTCTCAGGATCGAGGCCCGGGTCGGGTTCTCCGCATGGAGCCTGCTTCTCCCCTCTGCCTGTGTCTCTGCCTCTCTCTGTGTCTCTCATGAATAAATAAATAAAATATTTAAAAAATTAAAAGTACAATTACTATTTGCTCCAGTAAATCCACTTTTGGGCCTATTACCCCAAATAATTTTTTTAAGTATTTTATGTATTTATTCATGAGAGATACAGAGAGAGAGGCAGAGACACAGGCAAAGGGAGAAGCAGGCTCTCTGACAGGAGCCGGATGCAGGACTCAATCCTAGGACCCCAGGATCATGACCTGAGCTGAAGGCAGATGCTCAACCACCCAGCCACCCAGGTGTCCCTATCCCAAAAAATTGAAAGCAGAGATTCAAAGAGATACTTGCACACCCTTGTTCA